CCTCTCCTCTCCTCTCCTCTCCTCTCCTCCTAGAGCAGCCAAATGGGGGGAAACGGGACCTCTAAAAACCCTGAAAGCGTGCCCCCCACCACCACAGCCACCTCCCAGTGGTATTGGAGCAAGGAGAAACCCCATGACAGCCTCCTGTGGATGCTGATGCTGAGAGCTCCCTGATGGGGACTGCAACTGGGGGACCAGTGCCCCCATGGAGAGGCCAGAGTTGGGGACAGTAGAGCAGCTCTTTCCAATGGGCAGGTAGCACGGACGGCTGTCAATAACAAGGCTCTGCTCTAGGGCAGCCCCCAACCTCCTGCGTGGACCTCCCAGACTCTGGGAGTCAAAACAGCCCATTAAAAATACACTAGAACTGACTGACTTCTCTTCAGGGCATGCAGCTTCTGTGGAGAAATGCTGTTGAATATACATATACATATATATATGTATATATGTTTATGCACACACACATGTTGTAGCTGCTGATGAACAAAGATTTGACCCCATCTGTTGCTCATCCCTCAGGGGCAGGCTGAGTTTCTGGCACCCTTCTTGGTCCTCACTGCTAGTTCCCCAGCTGCAAGCGGCACCCCCAGCTCCATCCCTCCTCTGCCTGGAGAAGCAGTTGAGTAATCCTGTAAAACAGGAAATTTTTGCAACGAGAGGCCTTAAAAAAACATCCGCCTCAATTTGTCCAGAAGGTACAAAATGCATCCGAGATTTTGCTTTCTGCAGATGACGGTGACCTCAGGCCTCCCAAGCGGCTGCAGCTCCTCTGTGCCGGTGCCTGCAGGAAAGGGGGCAAAAGGGGACGAGTCTTAACCAGCTCTGCACAAGGAGCTTCATGGCCCTGGGATGGAGAGGAGCTGCGACCCCCGAGGCTTCACCCCAAGGCAGTAACGCTTCCCCTTGGGGCCCATGGCCGTGGGCACAGGAATTGCCAAGCTCCCGTCCCTGGGGCAGCCCCCGTGTTGTGGCATGTTGCAGTGCACAGGTAACCTGGCCAGCACAGCAGAGTGATGTAAATGGAGGGCTGTACCGCTTGCAAGTTGTGACGTGCCTTCCACTATTYATACAAYATTGTTTTGCTTTAATCTGGCTTTTTAAGTAAATTGTCAAAACCCTTTCTGTTCACTAGCAGTCTTTTCCTTTTTTTTTTTTTTTTTTTTTAAACTGCAAGTTTCATGTTTCAAAGCTTAGCTAGTGGTGAGTGATGGTGAAAAGCCCCGTTTGCAGTGACTTTTTGTTCCATGTCGGCATTGTTCATGCAGACGTGGTTGTTTTCTTTTCACCCTGGCATAGCTCAGGAGTGACTGCATGCTCTTAGCTCAAACTTTCTAAAAATACCCACCCGTGAGGAGAGATTCTGCACGGCAGCGTTCAGACCAYGAGACCAATGCTTTGGAAAAGAGGGTGCTGCCGGCAGCATGCAGACTATTCTGTCCTGCAAGCAGCAGAGCGAGCGGGACTGTGTGTTCTCCAGAGAGTATTTGCAGAGCTTTGGGTTTGCTTTGGGTTTGCTTGGGTTAGCTTTGGGTCTCGTTGGGGCGCAGGGAGCTGAAGGAGTGGCTGTATTCAGGTTACAGGGGAAGTCCAAGGAGTGCCCGTAGAGCCAAGGGGAAATCTGTGTGCAGGGAGGCCGTGGGGTGACTCAGAACCGTGAAGAGAAGCACCTCCTGCMGCGTGGAGAAGCGGGCCTGAAGGCCGAGCCCGCTCCCCAGCAGAAGCTGGTGTTAACAACCACATCCTCTTCTCTGAGGCTGAGAAGAGCCTGCAGGGAGAGAGCAAGGATGAAGCAGAGAATAAATCACACACACGACAAATTCCAGGAAAACACGGGGAAACTCCTTTTTGTCCTTCCCCTGGCTGATTGCAGGAAGCTCCCCAGGTGATGGCTTTGGCAGCTGCTGCCACAGGAGACCTTATTGTTCCGTGCTCACAGTTTTACAGTCTTGCCAGTTTTTGGCAGGAAACTATACAACAAAACCACCTAGTTCTTCTTTCTTGCTCTCCGTCTTTGCTCTCAAGGGGCTGATGCTTTGGTTTATCTCTTTCATTACTCATGACCTGCGGTGATCCAGCTTCCTTTTCCCAGCCTGGCCAAGTCTGATGGGCTTCACTCCAAGATCCTGGCAGAAGCACAGACAATTTTCCTTAGACCTCAGACAATACTAAACATTAGCACTCTCAAGCCTCTCACTGCATTTCTAATGCTACAACTATGTGGTTACCCAGCACGCCAACCCCCTTGTACCTGTCTAGTTTGTGTTTAGTTCTTGTTCCCTTTTCTCTGACATGAGACTCAAGTTCTGTTCCCAATTCAGGTTTCCTCAGTGACACTCATGACACTCAGAGGAAGCACATTTTGCATCTRTTGACCTGTCTGGCAGAGCACAGAGGGCCAGAAGGTGACAGCACCTCTGATACTGAAGGAAAAGGGAATGTGAGGGACCTGTCACTACAGGTTACATCAYAGTCTGCGTCCTGGAAACTTGAAACATGAAGCTGTGTTTGTGTGCAGACCTCTTGAGTTGCTGTCACCTCCCTGTTCTGCTTCTTCCTCCAGATGCTGTGTCTCCCCACACCACCACAGTGCTCAGCCTGCAGCCACCAGCATGCGGCTGACCCAAGGACACCATCTCCAGCCCTGTCCTTTCTAGCCTGCAGCCTGGGACACTGTGACTGAGCTCATACACTGTTAAATCCTGAACCTCTTCCCTTGCCTCTTCTTTTTTCTTCCCCTTCCCTGGGTTTTACAGGGCCAGGAATGAAGGTCACATCCCCTCTGAGGCATTTGCAGGGACGAGGGCTGCGCGCTGAAGTCTGCCCTCATTAAATGCCCCCACCGCCACCATGGAGCTGGCAGAGCAAGCAGGTTGGCATGCCACCAGTTTTGCTAAGGTTTCCAGTGGTAGGGCTGAGGTTTGGCACCAGGTGGATGCATCTGCTGCTGCAATCTCACCTGGAGAGGGCCTGGCTGAGCTCCAGTGCTCTCCACGCACACTGGTGCCTGTGA